CACTGAAAATGATCTTCAGCACATTGTCAACAAGTTTGCTGAGGCCTCGCAACTTTTCAGACTAACTATCAGCCTTGGAAAGACAGAAGTTCTCCATCAACCTGCACCTGGATCAAATGCTTCTGTCCCAAGTATCTCCATCGACGGCACTCAGCTGAAAGTAGTGGAGAACTTTAAATATCTGGGTAGTGTCATATCCAGTGATGGATCACTGGATAATGAGATCAATGCAAGAATATCCAAAGCAAGCCAGGCACTTGGCTGTCTGCGTGTCAAAGTTTTAAATCACCACAACATTCGGATGTCAACAAAACTGCTTGTGTACAGAACTGTTGTTCTTTCATCTCTTTTGTAAGGGTGCGAAACATGGACACTATATAGGCGTCACATCAAGCAGCTCAAAGCATTTCACACGCGCTGCCTCCGCAACGTCATGAAGATCCGCTGGCAAGACAAAGTGCCCAATCTCGAGGTCCTCGAGAGAGCCCAGATGACAAGCATCGAAATGATGATCATGAAGTCACAGCTATGTTGGACCGGTCATGTCAGCCGCATGGATGTCAACAGAATCCCCCGCCAGCTTCTGTATGGTGAGCTTTCCCAGGCATCTGGCATATAGGTAGTCCACGGAAACGTTACAAGGACACCATCAAAGCTAATCTGCACTACAGCAGTATCAAACCTAGGGACCTTGAGGATGCCGCCAACGACAGAACACAGTGGCGTGCAACAGTCAGAAATACCTGCATCGCCTTTGAGGAAGACCGCTGCCGGCGTCTACAAGAGGCACACGAACGACGTCACAGAGTATCAGCAGTGCACAATCCACTGACCGCGAACTTCCCATGCACCATCTGCAGCAAAATGTGCACCTCTAGAATTGGCTTGTACAGTCACCAGAGGGCACACCATAAGACCAACAACTGATGATCTGCACAGATTTGTCATAATCGGATTTGATGGACTACCAAGACTGATTTATCATAAATATAGGTGTGTGTGTGTGTGTGTGTGTGCGTGTGTAGAGTTTTTTCTAAAGGGTCAGAACCTGTATTAATTTTTCCTCTGGACTATAGATAAATCTACAAATAGATAATCCACCTGGGGCCAAATACTCTTTTAACTTTCATCATGCATGGTACTTGTACGAGTAAAATGAACAAGATTTGGCCCTTGGCCAATAATCCACAGCCTCTGTTGGTTCACAAAGGGATGGAATGGAAGGCAGTTTAAAGCAGAAATGAAGCTGTGATTCTTGTGAAACTTGGACACTTTTGAATAGCTTTATCCATCACCCTAGAGTTAAAGTATTTTGCTGCAGGACTAAACAATGGTTCTTGCTGCATAAAATCTGCGGATCACGTCCAGAACTCTCACTATGCTCTGGCATAGACTGGAATTGCTACTCAAACACATAACCTGAGATCAAATGTTCTAAAACAATATATTTCGTCTGGACAAAGCATTGTCAGGAAGCCAGGAAATGAAAAATGAAATTCCTTCTCATGCCATGTGCTAGTACTACCTTTTTAACAGTAGTTAGTATTAGGTAATGTATGTTATCATTGCATGGAAAAATGGTGAGGCTTGGGAAGGATGAGGGATGGGAAAACCCGCTCCACTGTCTGACAGAATAATTTATCGTGAGAGGATAACAGACAATAGTGCAAACAAAGGGTCAGACTCAGTAGGTCAAATTAAAACCCAGCTTCACCATTTCATTAACATTTCCTAAGTGTGCTAGATTCCTACAGGACCTTTTTTTCTCTCCAGTGAACATGAACCAGACTTGATGTTCCTTTCTGTTATTGGCCAGATGCAAGTGGTTTTTTTGTTTTTGTTTGGTTTTTGTTTTTTTGTTTCTTGGTTTTTTTAATCTAAAGGCCCCAATTCTTCAAGGGATTTATGTCCCTAACTCCCATTGAAATCAAAGGCACTCAAAAAGCTAAACCCCAGATTTAGGCACTACTGTGATCCACAAAACTCCTGCTTGGCTGCTGCCTAACCCTGTAGATGCCTAAATGCAACCAGGGCCTAAATTTTTGCTGTAAAATTTCCCTAGGTGCCTGTATTCCCCTCTTTGCGCATGAGCACAGTTGCCTTCCTCTAGGCATCCAGATGCCTAAGCCCCAGTGTGATCCATGAACTAGGGGAAGATAGACAGAAGAGCTCCTATTTTCCTTTCGGGACCTGATTGAGTAGGTGTGCTCAGAACATGCCTACCAGATCAGCTCTCATTAAAAATCTGGCTGGAGGAGGTTTGGGTGATTCCTACCTTATCACCTTGAGCAGCTACGACACGGGTTTGCTTGTGACATTCACGGAGGTGCTGACCACAGTGAAACGCCACTTTTGGGCTCAGGAAACAAGCAGTGAGTGGTGGGATCACATTGTCATGCATGTCTGGGATGACGAGCAGTGGCTGCAAAACTTTCGGATGAGGAAAGCCACATTCATGGGACTGTGTGATGAGCTCACCCCAGCCCTGCGGTACAAGGACCCACAAGAATGAGAGCTGCCCTGTCGTTGGAGAAGTGCATGGTGATTGCACTGTGGAAGCTGGCTACTCCAGACTGCTACCCATCAGTCACTAATCAGTTCGGAGAGGAAAAGTCAAACATTGGGCTTGTGTTGATGGAAGTGTGCAGGGCCCTTAATTGCATCCTGCTCCGAAAGACCGTGACTCTGGGAAATATGCATGATGTTGTGGATGGCTTTGCACAAATGGGCTTCCCTAACTGCAGAGAGGTGATAGATGGCACGCATATTCAAATTCTGACACCAGGTCACCTAGCCACCGAGTACATTTCTCAATGGTTCTCCAGGCATTTGTGGGTCACTGTGGGCGTTTCACAGACATTAGCGCAGGCTGGTCCAGAAAGGTGCATGACACACGCATCTTTTGGAACACTGGCCTGTTCAGGAAGCTGCAAGCAGGGACTTTCCTCCCAGATCAGAAAATCACCGTAGGGGAAGTCGAAATGCCCACTGTGAGACCCTGCCTACCCATTAATGCCGTGGCTTATGAAGCCATACATGGGGAACCTTGACAGCAGCAAGGAGCAGTTCAACAACAGGTTAAGCAAGTGCAGAATGAGTGACTGTGCTTTTGGCTGTTTAAAGGCCTGCTGGCACAGCCTACATGGGAGGCTGGACCTGGCTGATGACAATATTCCAATGCTTATAGTCATGTGCTATATGCGCCATAATATTTGTGAAGGGAAGGGTGAAAGCTTCACGCAGGGCTGGACTGCTGAGGCTCAGCGCCTGGAGGCTGAATTTGAACAGCCAGAGACCAGGGTTATTGGAGGGGTGCAGCATGGGGCCATAAGGATCAGGGATACCTTGAGGCAGCAATTTGAAGCTGAAAGCCACTAATATTTGTTGCTATGCTTGGGAGTGCAGTGCTTGTAATGCTAGCAGGTGATTGTGATTGGTGCAGACGATGCACTATGAAGGTATAACAAAATTGCTTGTTGCTTTGTTGGGCTCTGTTTAATGAAGTTTGAGAACTGTTGCTTAGCGTAATGAATACACATTTTTTGAATAGTATCCCAGAATTCCATTGATCACTTCCCAGTT